GTTACTATGTCCATGTTTAGTTGACCTGATACAAATGTTTATCATCCAGAAATAGTTGGGGGCACAGGTCTCTGCTGCTGTTTTTTTTTTTGTGGGTCAAAAGCTGAAAGGTTTGGGAACCACTGCACTTTGGTTCCCAAAGTTGGACTTGGGACCCAATTATGGGTCATGAAGCACCTTGGATAATCTCCAGAAATCAATTTAAAGGGTAATAAAATAATTGCTGATGTAATATTTTCCCTATAACTTTTACAAAAGCACAAAATAACTATAAATAAGTATTTATATTTGTGTACAAGCTGTTTAGATTGTCAAAAAGCCTGTGTGTTTAGGGTTATTAATGAAGTTCATGTACTCAGTCCAGTAATATTTGGGGTCACACGTTTTTGCCGTGGATATTTTGTGGGTCAGAAGATAAAAAGTTTGGGAACCACTGCTTTAAACCACTAAATGTCTAATTAAGACATAAKTGATCAAAAATCACGACACTTACCGACTTCCTTCATGTACTCGTCGAAGTTGTCGCTGGAAACCAACTTCCAGGTCCCGACAAACTGCTCCACCATGAYGGGRAAACAAAGAAAACCAGAAACAAGCTGATTCAGGGCCCGCCGGTGTTTCCACGCTTCAGACGGAGGACAGGAGCCATTTGAAGCCGGAGTCAGCGCGTGCAGGTCTCAGCACGACCAATCAGGAGCGGGAGCCAGCAGTTACCATGACAACCAGAGGATTAGGGGCGTTTCCTTGACTTTGATCTTGATGGTGAGTTTAATCTGACATTTTAAAACAGCCTGAAAATGTCGGATGTTTTGGAATTCTTACGTGCACAAATTCAATTTACATCATCTAAAGCAAATTAAATAATCATATACTTTTTGTGTATATTAATATAAAAAATTACTTTGTTTGAAAAAGACACTTTGCAAAACACAGATAAATTTTCAGCTGTCTTYAAAAACTACATTCTTGCACCCAGAACATTTTTGCAACATCTCTTTGTGGTGATCTTCATCTTCACCAGTAGATGGCGCCATTTGAAAAGAACAGCACAGATTTAAGTAACTCTGTATATAAATTATTGATAAATATATATAAAAACATGTAAATTTATGACCCTTTTTTTTATCATTTCACAAAAAAGTATCTCGTATCCAACAAAAAAAAGTGTTTATTGTCAGTGTGTAATTTTTAAGACATGAAAAACTGTGGTGTAGTGCCCTCTAGTGGTGGAATAACTACACTGCAATGGACCTGCAGGGTTTTTTTATTTATTTAATGGGCTAATAGGCTAGGATAGGCTAAAAATAAACAAAGCTGTGATCAAATTCTAACACATAAAATTAGAAGGTTTATCTGGAAACTACCTAAATGTAAAAACACCAGTGATTTTTTTAAATTTAAAATTTGGAGCAACCTCTACAGATGTGAAGAAATTTGCTGGGGTTTCTTTACTTACTGTAAACAACTTACTTACTTATTTTTCTTCCAAAATCATATCAATTTATCAAAAATGTATTTTTCTAAAATGTACCAGTACTCCACAATCTACCCATTCGGAGACCTGCCTCCAAATTAAGTTCTGATTTAAAAATCCTTCATCTTAATGTGTTAATGTTTCACTCTGCCCTTCCCATTTTTGTCTAGATATTATTTACTTGTTTTATTTTAAACCGAGAGCTTCGCCTTCTGGGCTCAGCTCGCTTCACCTCAACAGACCAGTACAACGCCCTCATCACTGCAGACGCAGCGCCAATCCGCTTGTCGATCTCCTGCTCCATTCTTCCCTCATTCATGAACAACACCCTGATATACTTAAACTCCTCCACTTGGGGCAGGACCTCCTCCCGACCCGGAGAAGGCACTCTACCATTTTCCAGCTCAAGACCATGGTCTCAGATTTGGAGTCACTGATCCTCATCCCGACCGCTTCACACTCAGCAGCGAACCGCTCCAGTGAGAGCTGGAGATCAGGATGAAGCCAACAGGACCACAT